AAATGTCTGTTGCATCTAAGCAGTTGTAGTAAGATTAACTTTTTCAATAGGTACAATAAGACAGATTTGACAGTGTTTTGCCACAGATTAATAGTTATATGCCAACTAAGTAGAGCATTGTGATTGGCCTGTTAAATTCAAGCTTATTGTTTAATGGTGGACTTGTCTTCTGCACATAGGTTTTTTAGATCTGGGCAGTTGGAGTCAGTTGATGACTTTAAAATAATCTTTTCTGACCGGATAATTAAAGCTCACAGCATTTACCTGTCTGTAGTTGATCTTCCCACATTTTAACTAACTTTTAACTAATCTGATCTCATTTAATGTCTCTGTTTATAGTCTGTATAGTTTATCCCCCCACTACTACGCTTAAAGTAGTCTTAAAATAAAACCCACAAAACAGTTAAAGATGATATACTTTTTATTTGCTCATTTAATGCCAGTTGCCCTCTTTCTCTGTTTGTCACTCATTTGCTTATACTCAGGCAAAAAGTACCAATTTGTACACTGATGAGTCTAGTGTATTTTTCCCCCTCTTTCTCTCTATGTGTCACACACACACAGACCAACACACAGACATGTATATGCTCATTATTGCTGTTTTAACTGATGGTCAAATTTCCAAGCACCACCTGAACGCCTCATTTGTTTTTAACCCATCACGGGACCAACTGTTGTCATTCCGCTTTGCTCTCTGCTGTGGTAAGTACAAAACACTCAGTACTGCACTGTTTTATTTTTATTATGGTAAAAATACATGTTTGACAATTAAACTCACATAACAAGTCCTTTTAAAGTTCAACAGAGTTTAAACAATAAAGAAAGCAGAAAAAAAGAATAACCTTCACTATTATTTATATAGGTTTATGACATTTTGCTGTTAGCAGCAGTGCTAATGCTAGCGTCAATGCTAATGCTAGCAACAATGCTAATACTAGCCATAGTGCTAACACTAGCCTTAGCGGTTGTTAACTGTCAAAAAGAGTATTCCTGTGATATTCCTGTGATAGTTATTGGCAGTCAGTGAGACAAAAGTAACAAATGAGCTTCATTATTGCTACTGTGGCTCAGTTTTAACAGTAAGAGTGTTAAATGGAATTCAGGAATGCTAGCGCTAGCAGCAATGCTAACGCTAGCAGCAATGCTAACGCTAGCAGCAATGCTAACGCTAGCAGCAATGCTAGCGCTAGCAGCAATCCTAAGGCTAGCAGCAATGCTAAGGCTAGCAGCAGTCTAACAGTAGCCTTAATAAGTGGAAATAGAGATTGAAAATGTGACGTCATTCAAGGGTAAAACCGCAAAGAATTCTGGGAACTCGTGGCAAGAGGTACTAGCGCACGCAGGCTTTCAATTGAAATCAGTTACACAGCGATAAAAAGAAACA